AGATAAATATATGTGTTCTAATTGTTATAACACGATTGTAGTAAATGAATCAAACATTTTTAAGGAACATGTTATAGAATATGAGAGAGGATTAAAAGACATAGAGAGGATGATAGCCTTTCTATGTCTGAAAGTATTTCTATATTAACTAACATTATTGTTGAAAGAGAAATTATAGGAAACGATCCACCTATTGTTTCATTTTTTAAGCTTCGATCTATCGCTGAAAGCAAGAATGGTCAATTAGGTTTTTTTTTTAATGAAATTGAAGAGATGGCTTGTTTGGAAAAAAAAAACGATGCTGAATGAAAAGCATTTGATCGTTCTTTAGCATATCAATGCTATTTAATATGCTGGAATCAAAGTATGGCCATTCCCTTTGGAATTTAAAAGATGAAGTAGCAGAAAATGATCACAATCTTATGTGTGTGAATAGCGTTAGTATTTTAACCAAGCTTCTATACAACCAAGAGAAAATTGAACAAAAACTGGCAATTTACAGCTTTAAACAGCTACGAAGAGAGATGGTGGCTAAGAATTTCAGGCTAAGTAATTTTTTTGATTCAATCTATAACGCATCACTTCCTCAAAATAGAAATGATAAGTATTTAGATAAGTTAGATAAAAAATTGATGGTGGAATGTTATATTCTTTGTAGCAATCAAAATTCTAAATTAACAGCATTTAAGAAAGATATTTCACTTTTTGTAGATTTGATAGAACTTTCGACAGATGCTATAGATGCCTTATCACATGCTGGTATAACGATTTCATGAAGGCATCTTGATAGAGAGAAGACAACTATCGCCGATAATCATCTGTCTAAGGTTAATTCGTATCTAGAGAGTAAAAAAAATAATGCCTTAGTACTTAACATTGATGATTATCATAATATCCATACTGAACGAACCCCGGATACATGTTCAACATCAAGTGCAGCACATATGACAACCTTGCTACTAAATGGTATTGATTCGATAGCTATTCCACGAGTCACACTGGATAGTATATCAATTCATAATCTAAAACTAATTGATTCTGAAATTATATGTACTTTTTTAGATCATTACTATATGGGGCGAATGGCTAAAATGTTTAACGATCAGTTTCATCATGAAATATCTTTGGACAAGAAGCTTGAAAATATAACTCTTCACAAATATGATGATCGCATAAGAGAACAACGAGAAAAGCGTAAAATGAAGGACACAATACTTCTAGACTTTTTTGAATTAAGTCTTAAGGATATGAATTCGTATATCAATGCTTTATAACAAGTTTATAAAATTTTTTTACTAACTAACTATTTAACTGATTATGTTCTTCCAATTGTAGCTGATTGGCCTGGGCAGGTTTTTCCATAACAAGCTATTACTCTTCGTTTACTAAATTGTGAAAAGGATATACCAAGCAGCGTATTGTCATTTATTCCAATTATTGGTGTTCTTCATATTTAACTAAACTTAATTAAGTCTATACTAAAGATTTATTGAGATTTTTTTAATATGGAGTACCAATATATTTTTTGTACAAGTAAGAAGCTGAGTAAAACACCAAGTCCATATCGAATCTTTGTGCTTTTAGAGCTCGTAAGAAGTGCTTGGAAAAAAATCAAACCGATCGTAATGGATAAGTTTAATAAGTGTTGTAAAGATACTGAGTTTTTATTTTTGTTTGAATTATTAGACAATATAGTACCAGTTGGATTAGATATATATTCGACTCTATTTCGATCCAGAGATTGAAAATCATACATCGAAGGTGTATTTCAGGCATGATGTATTTTTTTACGGTTTGAAAGGCATAACTATAACAAAGCGCCTTTAGCATTTCTTTCAGATGTATTCTATTGGAGTCAGAATAATCATCCAATATTAAATGTGCTAATAGATCATTTAGTTAAGTTTACAGATTATCCTGTTAAGAATATGCACAGCAGAATATGACGACAAACCTCATCTTGTAATACCCTGGAACAGCTTTCTAAAACAGCCAAGATCATTAATAACAGAAAGACAATTAACATATTTGAAGATGTATTTATCATTCAACAAAAGTCTACATATGCGGATAAAGATCATTTGGCTTTATTAATGAAGAAGGCAGAAGTATTTCTTCTTGAAATCTTCAGTAATATTTATCAAAAGCTCAGTCAAAGTTCCA